CTTAACCATGAAAGCCAGCTGGGTGACTTTCTGCCAATCGCTAGGTGGTGGTGAGTTCTAGTCCTTCCGTAAGCATGAAAGCCAGCTGGGTGATTTTGGATCAATCACTAGGTGATAGTGAGTTCTAGTCCCTCCTCAGGCATGAAAGCCAGCTGGGTGACTTTGAGTCAGTGCTTCTCTCTCTCTCTCTCTCAGCCCAACCCACCTCACAGGGTTGTTGTTGTGGGGAAAACAGGCGGAGGAAGGTGTTTTGGATATGTATGCCATCTTGAACTATTTATAAAAACAATAAAAGGTGGGATACAATATAAATAAAAGCCGTCCTTTGCCCTCTCTGATTGTTTCTCCATCCTTTGGTAAGAGATCTGGGTTGGCTTGCGCCCAGTCCCTGGATGACTCCTTTGCCCTCCCTTCCCTCCCCAAGGGACCAGCTGGGAACCTGTGTGGCTGACGGTTGGCAAATGTGCCTTGAATTATTTAGTTGATTTGTTTACAGACAGAATGTCATCTCGGATTTTCTCTCTCTCTCTCTCTGGCTCAGGAAGAGGAGGGGAAAAAAATGGGGAGGCAGGAACCCAAATGCCAACTAGTTCAAGTCTCTTGTTTGCTCAATCAGTCTGTTTGAAAAGCATATTTATCTTTTATTTTTTATTCATTGGTATAACCTGCCTTTATTATTTTTAGCAATAACTCAAGGTGGCAAATGTATCTACTACTCTTTCCTCCTATTTTCCCCACAACAACAACCCTGTGAGGTGGATTTGGCTGAGACAAGGGGACTGGCGCAAAGTCACCCAGCTGTTTTTTATGCCTAAGGTAGGACTAGAACTCACCCTCTCCTGGTGATTGGCCCAAAGTCACCCAACCGGCTTTCATGCTAACACAAGACTAGAACTCACCCTTCCTCATGATTGGTGCGAAGTCATCCAGCCAGCTTTCATACCTAAGGTAGGACTCGAACTCACCCTCTCCTGGTGATTGGTCCAAAGTCATCCAGTTGGTTTTCATGCCTAAGCTGGGACTAGAACTCACTGCCTCCCAGTGATTGGCCCTAAGACACCCAGCCAGCTTTCATTGAACTCACCCTCTCCTGGTGATTGGTCCAAAGTCATCCAGTTGGCTATCATGCTAAGTTGGGACTAGAACTCACCATCGCCTTGTGATTGGCCTAAAGACACCCAGCTGGTTTTTATGCCTAAGGTGGGACTAGAACTCACGTCTCCTTTCTAGCCTGGTGCTTTCAGCGCTAGACCAAACTGGCACCTTCGGCAGAATAATGCCTCTCTCTGGATTGTCTTCAGGGAGCCCCAATCCCCTGCTACTTTTAAGTCAGGCAGATCTCTTGGAGCAGTTCCATCCTTAAAGGGCTAGGATCATTCCTTGCCACCTCTGGGTATATACACATGTGTGCACAGGGCCTTTTACAGAACCAGCCGCCGTCAAAGGTTTTATCTCTGCTTCTTTGTAAGGAAAGACCCCCTAATTCTCTCCCTCAGGTGTGTGCCTGTCCACAGGTTGCTAAATAGCTGAAAACTTAATGGTCAGGCAACCAAGAGACGCGAGGGAGAGAGGGGAAGCTAAGGCACGCATGCCACGGATTTTGTGCCACGTAGTTAAAGCTACCTACATGCACCGGCAAACAGCAGCTTCTTAGTCAAGATCTTGCTTGCCTCCCCTCCTAAACCCGAGACAATAAATTCCAAGCAGAGAAATGCAAACACGTGCCAACGTGTGGCAGGTGGCACTGAAATAAAATATAGACATCCTGGCTCAGTTGGCAAAGAACCTTTGAAACCTAGGTCTGCATCCTTTGTGGCCCACTGTTAGTATTGCCCTCCTCTTAACGTACACAAGAAGCAACGTTTTACGGGTGTAGAAAAGATGGTGTGATTCAAAATTTAGAAAAAAATAAATAGCTTGGACATTTTGGGCCATGTTTTGACATGGATGTGAATGAGAGAATTCTACCTGCCTGACTAGATTTAAACCAGCCAACTTGGTTTGCGGTGTTGTACAAACTCGGGGTTGAGTTTAGGATGCAACCAATTCAAAAAAAAAAAAAATTGGGATCACTTCTGGTCAGGCAGTCCTTAACTTAACCATGTTTGTTTAGTGACCATGCAAAGTCACAACGGTGACTTACAAACCATACTTAAAACCATTGTAGCATCCGTGTGGTCACGTGATCAAAATTCAGACACTTTGCAACTGGCATGTACTTATGACTGGCATGTACTGATCACAGGTCATGTGATCAACTTTTTGCAACCTCCTGACAAAAGAAGCCAACAGGGAAGCAGGATTCACTTAACAACCAGTGATTCGCTAAACAACCGTGGGGAGGAATTTTGTAAAACTGGTGCCACACCCTTAACAACTGCCTTGCTTTGCAATGGGAAAATGTTAGTTGTAAGTCTAGGACGATCTGCGTGTAAGAGCGTCTCTGTGTATAGGGGGTAGGAAAACAGAAAATGCATCCTTTAATTTACTATTGGTTTGCAAAATGGTTGACGGTGCCGGAGAATTGGGAAAGTCTTATTTTGCAGAGGTTGTTTTTTTTTTGAAAGAGGTTCTGAGTGTGAAACTTTTTGCCGAGTTGTGACCTTGCCTTAGGGCAGAGAGCAAACGCCATTTACAACTTCTTCTACCTCTTTCAAATGCAAGTGGGCACCAGAGCTGGTATTCAGCAGGTTCTGACCAGTTCGGTAGCGGAAATTTTGAGTAGTTTGGAATACCACCTCTGACTGGCCCCACCCCCATCTCTTCTCTGCCTCTCGAGTCCCAGCTGATCAGCTGGGTCTTCTTTTGTTGCCCTGCACAGGAGAATGGAGCTGGAAAGCAGGTTATTGGGGTGGGGAGGGAGGATTGTGCAGTAATCTTCCCCCTGGAGTGAGGAGGGAATGGGTTTTTTTTTCAGTGTTCTTCCTCTGCCATGCCCGCCAAGCCACACCCACCAAGCCACGCGCACAGAACCGGTAGTAAAAATATTTGAATCCCACCACTGGTGGGCACCATATTCTTGGATATTCTTCTCCATACGTACAACCCATAACCCAGATCCTTTGGTCACCGAGGGAAAGTAGACAGCACGAGAGTGGCCTGCCTTCAAGGCAAGAAGCTGGAGAGCTGGAAAAAGAAGTTTAGATCAGGCCCACCATGGGACATGGCCTTCACCCAAAAGTTCCCTTAGATGGCCAGTTGAAGCTGCAAAAGAACATCGGCTTGGTCCAGATGTCCTTCTTAATTCACCCGAGATGAATCCAAGGATTGGGAAGGCTTAATTCATTTCCACAGGGTCAAGCAAAGCTGAGCTTGTTCCAAGCAAAGGAATCATCTTGAGGGTTTGGCTGTCCTCCATCCATTCTCTTGCAAGACGATGGATAAGAAGTTGACCCTTCTGTCCAAGGAGAACTTTGGAGAAATGCTTCTGAGGGGAAGTGAGGTTCCATGAGGGACAATGTGATGGAGATGATTGTCCTATTTTTCATGGCACGATTGTCTCTCAAGTTTCATCTTTAGGGGAAGATCTCAAGAAGGAACTGCTCCAATTGAGAACCTGCTGCTTCTGTCCAGGCTAAGGGGAGAAGCTGCCCTTGAGAAACGGATGGAGAACGTTGTCTTCCCCTGAAGAAAGACTTCATCCACTTTCTCTGCCCACAAGTTGAGTGGAGATTTTCTAAAGCTTGTTGGTGCCAAGTTCTTATAATTACTGAGACTATAACTGAATATTTTATCTGGGGTATCAAATGATCTGAAAGCTCCCAGAATGAGAATTAGGGGATCTGATCAGACAGAAAGATTGGACAGGGATGGTCAGGAATTTTACAATTTAGAGTATGTTTTTCTCCAAGGAGTTGAGCTAACAGATGTGGTTCCTCATTCCACACACTCTAGGCATACAGTTATAGCCTCATAACCTGATGAACGTTAGGTTAACATTATGCTTCTCCAAAGATTCAGCCAGATTTTTCTGTATCCTACCTGGAAATGACCGAACTGTGAAATTGTTCATGCAACGTAGATCTCTTAGTGAATATTGAAGCTAGTCTACTTTTCTATACAGAAAATGGATTTCTTGAAAGTCTAAAATTACTCAACGGCAGCACCAAGCAAGCAAACACAGAGCTTGCAAATTGGTTACCTAGTAAACGTTGTTTATTAAGTTATTCCAT